ACACCACCTGGTGAAGCGGTGCTGTTCCAAGTGTGGACCCTGAGCTGTAGGTTCATGTGCAAGGAGGCAGGTCCAGAAGTTGTGTGTGCACATTCAGAGCCCTTTGTAGATATGCAAACTTGCTGTGACACAGAGCAGTGGTCAGGCGGCCGGCTGGGCCTCCAGTGTGCAGGCTGGTTCAGAGGCTGTCACACTTGCACAAGGAGGCACACGTGGAATGTGCATCATGCTGGGTGAGCTCAGTGAAACTGTGCTTTGGACTGCCATGAATTGGACATTTAAAAAGAAAAGGAGAGAGCTGGCCTCTGACCACGTGGAATTTGAGAAGCACTAGTGTGTGCAAACTCTGGTTGTTCACGTCCCTGTGGACAGTTTTCACTTCAACTTTGCTGGTGGTACTGAGTCCCCAGGGACTAGGGAAGTTGTGGTCCCTGCCGCCTGAGTAGACTGTCTGAATATCCCTTTGTGAGAAACACTTATCCAATCTTTACCCATTTTCAAAGTGTGTGTTTTAAGTTGTCCTGAGATATTTTGCTGCCAGCTCAATTCTAGGAGGAAGACAGTGGGTGAAATATGTAGAGCGGGGACAAACCCTGATTCCACGGTGAGATTCTGAGTCTGCTCACTGAGATGGCACTCACAAGCATCCAGCATATGCCAAGAACAGTGTGGTGGGGATGGCATTGAGGAGACAGCAGTGTTCCTGCCTGGAGGGATTCATGCTCTAGCAGTGGTAAACTGGTAACTTGGGGTGGTGATAAGTGCTGAGAAGAAATCAGACTAGTGAGACAGGACGGGCCGGCAGGGCCCTGCAGCCAGTGGTAAAGGTTTTCCTAAAGCAATTCCGTTTAGGTCTGTATCAGAAGAATGAGAAGAACGCTGCCTGCAGCCGTCCCGGGGAGGAGCCTCCCAGGAGGAGAAGGCCCGAGGCAGGAGCCAGGGTCTGGGTGTTGAAGAGCACACCCTCACTTTGGCCATAACGGAGGCCTTAGGGACGCAGAGGCTCAGGGACGCTGGCAGGCTGCTGTGAGCGCCCTCCACCCTGCTGTTTCTGTCCACCCCTCCTGCACTTTTCCTGTGGGTGGGCGGCCTGTGCTTGGGTCAGTCACTCACTGTTGGGAGCCTGACCTCAGGTCACGGGAGCTGCCTGGCCCACATGGGTAGAGAGCGGAAAGTATCTAAGAGCCCAATTTCCCCAGTTTCCACCAGCAGCCCTCATGCAGTGGAGGAAGGACCTAGGAGAAGGTACCCTCATCTCCCCGGCCTGGGCGGCAGAGAGCCATGGCATCCCAGGCCGTGCAGACACGGAGCAGAGCGCAAGCCCTGGGAGTCCTACTCTCCCTTTCTTGCTAATTTCTAAGGGATTTCCTTAATAAATTAGATGGAACCCAGCCTTGTGCATGCTCAGTGCAGGCCTCCACGGAGCAACACCCTCAGCCCTTGATACACGCTGAACAATTTTTATCGTTGTTCTCCGGGGGTATCAGCAGCATGTTCGATGACCAGCCAACTCAGGTGTGCACGGCCACTCTCTGAGTCACCCTTGGGCAGCTCACCTGCTCTCTGTGGGCCTTCATTTCCTTGTCACAAAAGTGGGACAAAAATAGGGCCACTATTTTTGTAAGGAGTAAATGAAAGACTGTGGGCTACAGCCTTGGCAGAGACACTGTGGTGCTGCTGTGCTTGGCTGTGCTTTGAAGCCTCTCGAAGTCACCAGAGGCCATGAGCCTTGGGTCACGTTCTATTGCATTCCTTAAAAGTGTTCGGTGCCACTAGAGTCTGGGGATGACAGAGGTGGGAGGAGGGGAAAACCCGCCCTTCTGGTACCTTGGAGTTGCCGACCCTCGTTAAATCCTGACAAGCTCCTGCAAGAACAGAATTCATCATTATTTAACTGTTAAAGAAGGGACCCAACCCTCTGTGAGGCTGAGCAGCCTGAGGGGACATGCAGGTCAGCCAGGAGTCAGATCTGTCTGGACTGGGAACATGGGCCCCTGGAGGCTAGGGCTCTGACCTGACTTCTAAGTCCTCCTGCAGAAGGAGCTTGGTGTCACGCTTCGGGGGGTGGGGGCGGGGAGATGTCCAGTCTGGCTGGAAGGACCACCATGCTGCATGTCTGGACAGTGAAGCTTCTTCCCAGGGTCAGCATTTCAGGCCTGGTTAATGCTGGTCCCTAGGTCAGGGCACAGTTGAGCATCTCTCTGGGGCCACATGTGCTGCCCATCATAACTGGGTGTGCCCAGCCTGTACCTTGCATGTCACAGCCCTGGGGCTCCAGGATACAGTCCTTTTAAGTGATCCAGATTCAGGCAGAAGGCTGGTGGTATCTCAGCTGCAGACCAAAGGACACCAGAGAGTAGCAAACCCAGGTGCACTTAATAGACCAGGAAGGAGGCGGAGCTTAGCTGGGAACCCCATCCCATCAGGCACTCAGGAGAAGTGAGCACTGAGTGTTAGGTGAACTAGGACAACTCTGGGGACAGTGTCTTCTTCCTGCCTTCTCAGTTTCCTGTGGTTGGTGACCAGACACATTCCTAACAAAACCAGGCATTAAATAGGACCTTACACTTGAGGTTACCAAAAGGCCCAGTAGCCATAAAACCAGAGTAAATACACCCAGTCCTGCCAAGGCTGGGACAGGATTTGGAAATCCAAAAAGACACTTGAGGTCCCAGGGCAGGGAGGTCTTGGCTTTTCCCCAAGCATCATGGCTTGCTCACCTCTGATCTTCCCCCAGGACTTGTTCTGGGAAAGAGGAAGGCTCAGGGTGCCAGCTTCCAGCCCAGCGCCTAGCCCCTCCTCCCAGGGAGGGAGCCAGGTGCAGGACCAGCCTACCCGGCTTTCTGAAAGACTCCTGCGTCCTGGCCCAAACTTGGGGCGGGTGGAGAGCTGGGTGGTGACTGGGAGGACCTAATGCTCTCCAGTACTGCCAGGGCTGGAGCTGGGTGAGGGACGAGATTGGAGCCAGCGAGGCTATGGCTGGAGCTGGGTGCGGGGCGGGGCTGCCGCTGGCTGTGGCGCACTGGGTGCTGCGCGGTGCTTCGCGGTGCGGAAGCCTGTATTCTCATCCCGTGTGAGGGTGGGCCCAGACATCGGCCTAAGTGAAGTGGGTTCGCCATTTTTAACAACTATTTGCGTTTTCCTTCCTCCTAGTTAGCAATGGCATGCATCCTGTCCTAGGTTTGTCGTCAGTGCAGCTGTTCTTTTGGCGAGAGCGCCTGGGTTTGGGCGGATTCAAACCCTATCCTAGCGGTGCGCGCAGGCTGTCCAACCCCCAACGCTTTCCCTGAAGGACAGTCCGCAGCTAGAGTCAAGCCGCGCAGTCCCGGGAGGTCGGTGCGTTCCCACCAGGCTCAGAGCCTGGTCCCCTGGGTCGCACAGAGCAGAATGTTAGGAGCATTTCCCGGAGCGCGCCCAGGTCTCGCCTAAGCCCTGGATGTGAGTGGGCAGCTTTGCTGCATCTCGGGAGCTTGGAGCAACTGCGCTGGTCAAGGCCCGCGTGGACACAGCAGGGCGGGATTCCGTGGCCTCAGCCTGGCGCTGGCCTCCCGAAAGCAGGTGTGCGCTCCACCCCCGCTGAGCGGGTCTGCCGCAGGTCAGGGGAAAAATGCGAAGCTTTTATCTAAACAAAATATTGCTTTTGTTAAGAGCTTTCTGCACACAGAAGCTTTCCAGCCACGTGACACTGACCTTCCACTCCCCCAGATTCAGCACTTTGCAGTCTGTTGTTATTTTTAGTAGATGCATAAAAGAATCTCGAAAACTTTTGGCTCCGAAGAAAGTGTACTTACAGACGGTGCCTCCACACATGGGTCCTCAACTGTTCTTAAAGGACTCCCGGAGAATCAGACAGCAGAGCGAAGGCCAGTACTGCCCAGAACTGGCAGGAACAAGGGCCGTGAAGCGAGGTCTTGAAAGTGCAGCAGTGGGGGCCGGGAGGGCGGTGGCCCAAGCCTGTAATTCCAGAGATTTGGGAGGTTGAGGCAGGAAGATCATAAGTTCAAAGCCAGTCTCAGCAACTTAGGGAGGCCCGGTCGCAAAAATTAAAAGAAAAAAAAAAAAGCCAACTGGAGAGGCAGTTCAATGGTGAAGTACCCCTGGGTTCAGTCCCTAGGACCCGAAGAAAAAGTAGAAGTTTGGGTCATAGACTTACAGGATCATGGATGGTTTTACTAAGTGGGGGCATTGGAATTGTGACACTGGAACACATTTTTAGGTTCCTCCGTGGACAGGACTTTAGCAATCTGTTTCTAGATAAGAATGTAGATTTTAATGATGATGATGATGATGAAGTGTTTGCTGGACTCACCGGAGAGAAGACATTATCAAAGCCGTGGATTAGTCCTTAATGTGTGTCTGGCACGGGGCAGACTGTGCAGAGCACTCTGAGAGAGTCTCAAGGATTTTACACCTAAAGAGCTTTACAAATAAATGTATAAAATATGTTCAGATCTGCTATAAAAGGGCTTTCTTTCCTCCACTCTGAGTTATATGGTGCAGTACCGATTAGTTGCTCACATCAAAACTGAGACTTCTGTTTTGGAGGAATTAACAAAAGACAACACAGCCTTAATAAATCAACACCAAAGTTCATAAGTTCAGGGTGATTTGTCTTGGGAACAAAGTCTTCCCTAGAGCTAGAGGCATTCAAAGGAACTCTTGGCGTTAATGGGATTATTAAATATCTACCTGAGACCAGATAAATATTTGATGATTTTGCAAAGCCCTGGGATTCCTTTCAGTTTTTCTTCTGCTGACACTTCCCCCCATGGGGTCTAGACCTTGTGGTTCATTAGATTTTGCAAATGAAGGAAGGCTGGGGTTTCCCAAGAGTGTGCGTGTGCAGGAAGGTTCACCAGAGGGGTGTGTGTGCTGAGTGCGTGCTTGCATGCCTGTGCGAGGGGGGCAGGGAGGCTCAGGGGCAGCCCATGAGGGCTACAAAGCTGCCACCTAGAGGCGCCTTTCTGCAGCTTATATAACACAAGTCTGCAGCTCCTGAGCTCACAGTTCCTCAAAACTGCTCAGCGCTGAGAGCAAGCTCACAGCCAGGAAGACAACCGGGAGCCCAACCAGCCCCGAGGTAAGGAAGCCGTGCCCAGCAGCAGCCTGCTGAGAAAGGAAGCAGGACAGGCAGAGCTCTGGCTCTTAAGCTGAGAGGGCTTGTTGGGAGGACCCTTTCTGATTGCTGAGATGGGTGCCTGGGAGCCTGGTTTCTGGAAGTGCAGGCTGCACGCTGTTAACTCTGTGTTCAAAGTGCCTCTGCTGATTCCGGGCTTCACCTCTAGCTATAGAAAGCGCAGGGCACTGGCGCAAGGCGATTTCCCTGTGTATTTGTTGAATTGAGGAATCTGGTGTTTATTTGCTGCTGTGGGTACTTAAGCTCCAGTAGGAAGGGACTTTGGGAGAAGGCATACCGTCCGTTCTGCTTGCCCAGAGTTGGCATAGGGTTTAGCTTGGCACCACCGTTACCTGCTTTGCTTCTGATATATTGAGTGGGAACTAGAATTGGCTGTAACTTCGTAATTCCGGCAAGACAAACACTCTAAGGGGCAGCCTTAAGTGAACCAGAGGGCTGGGTTGAGAATCTCTGTGAATCCAGAATGTATTTGAACTCAGCTCTTTGGAGGATTACCAGATCCTGAAGTCCGGAAGCTATAAATGGGAATGTTAAATACAACCCTGGTCTTCTTGTCTCTCAATTATATCCTTGCTAATCTAATTTAAGTATTTATTGTTCTCTTAGAAAGTGTTAAGACCGACTTTGATGGGAAAAGAAAGCATCACACAAAAGTCTAGTGTTGGATAATTTACATATATTCTTCAGGCAGAAGTGAATTTTGTTCCATTTTGTTAAGATGCATGTGGATTCCAGGGGTGGCTGAGGTCAGGAATGGGTGGTTAGCCAAGACTTGTAACTTCCAGGGAGAAGGAGAAGTTGTAAAAGTCAGACTGGCTGTCTCTCCCTGACTCTCTCTCTCTCTCTCTCTTTCTTGCCATTCATTTGCTCACAACAGGATTAATTAGTTTCTCCAAAGTGGGAGTGGGCCTCCGTAAATGGTTTACAGCCCTTTGAAGGTATCTGGGGCCGTGACATCCCCTAAAACTTCAGCCTGCAGTCTCAGCGTGGCAATGTTCTTCTTTTCTTCTAAAACGCAGATGCCGCCTTTGTGTTCCTTTATTTATTCCAGGAAAATGTGGAGATCAAATAGGCATGCCCAGCCCGGGCAGTGAGGCTGTGGTTTCTGATTTCGGTGCTTGCACTTTCTGTGGATTTTCAGGGATGAGCTGCTGGTCTTCCTCCCTTCAGAACAGGAGCTTAGCCCAGATGCACAGGCTCTCTCTAGGGCGGAGCTGCACATGGGAGCTCTAGCTTGGAAACAATTTGCTCTTTTTTCCCTGTCTCTGCCATAAACACTTGAATCTGCGCACAACTGCTGAGCTTCAGTGTAGCCTCCAGGAGCCCGGGTGGGGGAGGGGATGCAAAAGCCAGGGAAATTGAGGAACAGGCCATGTGTTGCTGCTAGTCTTTTTTTTTTTTTCTTAAGAGCATGCATTGCAGTTGTAATTTTTAAAAAGCTCCAGAAAATTCCAAGGCAGCAGCTTCTGCTTAACTAGGTGAGGACTTTTGAGGTGAGTTTGCCCCATTTAACAGCAAGCATTTAACAGCAAGTCCTTGGAGAGTCGAGAAAGTATTATGATTTCTAATCAGGCCCAGAACAGGCCAAGTATAGGCTTTCTGGATGAAAGAAAGAAAGGGGAAGAAAAAAAAAAAAAAACCACCCTGCCCAGAACACCCTTCTTCATCAGAACAGTGGCTTTTTGTGTGATGGTTTTGGGCAGAGAGCTCCTGTTTTCACGTCAACAGGAGGGAAGTGGTTGAMGTTACTCCAACCTGGGGCTGGAGGGCAGTCACTTTATAAACCATAAGAGGAGAGAGCAGAGGGCTTCAAAGATTGCAGATCTTTAGTTTTTTTCTCAGTGATTTTGTGGAACATGAATGGAATTTGGGGCCTGAAGGCATTTGCACTTTTAAACCAGGCAACCAGGGGGCTTAGCTTACTCTTGGCAACAAGAATAGTATTAAAATGCTGTGCGGCTGGATCACGTGCAAGCAGGTATAATAGAATGAAACCAAAACTCCGTCAGGTCTAGTGAAGTACACACACACACACACACACACACACACACACACACATGGCTAGCTCCAGGACATATATTCTCTATTATAAGGAAAGCAAAGAAAAGAGCAAGAGAGAGACCAGGATGTGCCCTGGAGGGTGTCCCTGATTTTAGCACTTTTTTTAGGGCTTTCTGCTGGGCATGCTCCATTTGATGAAGGTCCTTACAGAGAATCTACTAGTTTGGAATTACAAACCCTCCACCCCCACCCCCACCCAAAGCAAGAACAAAAACAACCATTATTGCTTTGTTATAAAGTGACGGGGATGGCATAACTTCTCGGTGACAGTTTTGTGGAACTTCAAGTGGATTTGGAAGCAGACTTTATTTTGTCCCAGGATCTTAGAGGGTGGAGGGGCTGTGGCTATCGCAGGTGGCCTTGAGCCACTGCTGGCCGGGGGGGGGGACAGATAAGGCATGGGCAGGGTGGACTGCGTTTCCAGGGCTGTGTCAGGCAGATGGCTTCGCCTCCTCTCTTCCTGAGTCACAGAGGCCTTTGAGGACGTCTTCCTTCGGTGTTACAGGAAGAGCCTGAGGTTTCCCAGCGTGGCCCAGGGAAGCTCCTTGTGTCTCCTGAGAGCCCTCCTAGCCTGGCTGACCTCCCACTTGGTCCTCAGCTGGGTGGGGAGGAGCTCTCTGATCACACTCGGCCAGCCCAGACGGCTGCCTTTGTGACGGGAGCCTTGGATCTGCTCTGCTGGGCACAGCCTTGCTCCCTGGGCAGCTGAGCACAATAGACCGGATCGGGTTTCTGGATGCGGCCTGCATTTTATCCCCCAGATACTTACAGTGGGTCGGGCGTCCCACGTGTTGATGTGAGTTTGCGGAGCACCCCGTGAACAGGCGGCCTGTGTCAGGATGGGCGTGGAGTCTCCCCTCTGCATTCAGTGTTCTTCCTTTCCTCATGTTTACTATGTTTTGAGTTCACAAATAAATCAAAGCCCTTCCCTACTTCCATAAAATAAGGCCACTCTGGGCTATGATGAAGGTGTCCTAGGACCACACTGTCTTCCATGAGTGGCCCTGGTGCGGACTGCTTCCCCTGCTGCCCTCAGGCCCAGCCACAGAGGCTGCCGGGCGGAGGCCTGCAGGTAGGAGGCCTGCAGGTGGGCGGTCAGTGTCCGGTGTCCCCTGGATTTAACCGGTTAAACAGTTAAACACAACAGCACAAGTCGGCCGTGCAGAGAGATGTGATCCCAGTCCCTGGGTGTCTGTGCCCGCCTTGCCCTCAGTTTCCAGGTGCACACATGGCGGTGACAGGGACTGAAGGCCATGGTCAGCTCTTACGTTAGTACAACGATGAATTTCTCCAGGAAGTGCGCTTGCAGGGCATAGGCCAGGAGTTACAGACAGATGCTAAGGAGGCGACCTGGAGGCTCAGGTCCAGACAGGCTCCATCTTATCTGATCTGCCTCCTGCAGAGCTGCAGGGCCCTCCTCCAAGGTGCCTGCGGTGGCTGCTCTGCACCCAGCCACCAGGGTGCCCCTGCCAGGCCTCTGGGTCTGAGTGTCACCTTCATCCTCTAAGCTTCTTCTGCCCCAAGCTGTGGCCTGGCTCGAGACCTTCTTGTGGCTGCTGAAGAGTCAGGCCAGCCTGACCTCCTGCCACCCTCCAAGACCACTCTCACCTCCTCCTCTCCTTTATGGGGAGTCTGCCTCAGCCAGGCYGGGCGACTCCCCTGAAGTTCAGAACCCGCCTGGGGCCCCCTGGGCGGCCACTCTGGAAGTCCCCCATGGGTCACTAGAGTGGGAGCACCTCCCCTGCTACAGGAGGTGCCTGCCACCTGGCTTGGGCCTGGGGGGACAGTGCTGGTTTTGCACCTTGCTGACGTCCTCAGCTCTTGGCCGGGGGTGGGGGGCGGGGGGGGGCCCGCAGACCTCAGCCAGGCGAGGATTCAGAAGAGGCCTTTGGGAAACCTAGAACCAGTGCCGGCTGAGGTCACCAGCCTCGGGGGCACTTTGCTGGTGTGGCCAGAGGATGACAAAGGAGACGTGGTGGGAGGCACCAGGCTTGAGCAGGAACGTGGTGAGGTGGGGCATGGGCTCCTGCCCGGTCGAGTGGGGAGAAGGTGGAGGAGCAGCGGCCAGGGCGTGGCCTCGGGGGTCTCCCCAGGCTGGAGGGCCAGGGGGAGCTGTTAAGGCATCCTGGGGAACCTTAGCCAGACGCCCGAACACTCGGCAGGCTCTTGAAGGAGCTAACCCGGGTGAGGACACGTGGCCTCCGAGCACACCGCCACCCCGCAGGACTCTAAACTGGGAGACTTCTGATCCTGGCCTCGCCCAGACTGCCGGGGTGAGCTCAGGCAAACCCTGTGGAGGCAGCTGAATCCCCCAGGCTGCCCGCCGGGGCTGGGGYGGCGCCAGGGATGTGCGGTCAGGATAACAAACCTCGGAAACCAGAGGAGGGTCTCCCAGGAGTGTCCTCCTCCCAACACAGAGGACCTCGCGCACCTCTTGGGACTGGGAGTGGTGGGTGGATAGTCCCTTTCCAGGCCCAGGGCCAGTGAGGAGGGGCAGGTGATGCCATATCCAGCGCTGGCCCCCTCCTGTCATGGTGGACGTGGATGCTGGGTGAGGCAGGTGGTGGGCAGGGTCTTCCCAGCAGTGACCCTGTGGACGGCACTGGGCAGGAGAGAAGCTCAGAAGTTAGGAAGGCAAACTGTGTTTATGGCTTTCTATTCTCAGTGGGTTCTCTGGGGTCTACAAAAATAGAACAGGAGCCTTAATTGTCGTGGCTCATTCCTCCCTCGGTTTAAATTTACGTGATTTTTTATGTCAAATTTCAAATAACACAGATGTTTATAGAGTAAAAACTACAGTCTTCCTTTGTCCCCTTTTTCTACCCTTGCTGCCAGGGTTGCACTTGCTGAAGACTCCTGTGCCCTTGATGACATTTGCATTTGAAAATACACTCTGAGTTTTGCTTTTTCTCCTACATCAAAGGGATAATGTTTACACTTTGCCTTTCACTAACAGCATGTTATAACTCTCCCTGCTCATGAAAAACACTGTCCCTCCCTTTTTATAGCTGTATGATATTCCAGAGACTATGCCATAGTTTATTGAATGGGTCCTCTGTTGATAGAGATTCATGTGGTCTGCAATTTTTGCTAGTAAAAAAATTACTGCTTCAATAAACATTTTGTATGCACATTTGGGGAAAATGTGAGTATTTCAAGATAAGAAATATGGTTCACATATAAAATTATAAAATCCTAGAATGGGAAACATCCTTTACTCTGAGCCCTTCGTCTCTTCTGGAACCTCTGTGCAGATGCTGTACAGCCGAAGCCCGTGAGGTGGGTCTCGGGCCTCCCTCATAGGCGCGGGCACAGAGCCCAGACAGAGGCAACACAYAGATTTATATCCAAAATTTCTCTTGCTCTCTGGCCTCGAGCTGGCAGGAATGGCTGTGGTTGGTCAGCAGCAGGCCAGTGCCTGGTCTGAGTGGGGTCTCCGTCGGGCCTCCTGGTTGTCAGCGGTCCCTGCTGCCAGCATAATGGACCCATGGCTGCGTGAGGTCTGTGCGAGGAGCGCAGTGGCCCGTGGATCCGGGTGGCCTGCAGTGGCTCTTTCCCCAGGGCCAGGCAGACCCTTGGCTTTGTGCAGGACGCTCCAGGAGTCGCAGCCCCTCTCCCTCCTGCCTCCGTGCTCAGGGGCCCTGGAGCTTTGTCCCAGGCTGTGGGAAAGCAGGGCCTGGCTGAGGCTCCTCTGCCTTCCRTCTTCTGTTCCTGGTGAGGACTGAGTGGCCCTGCTGAGGCTGTTCCAGGCAGGCAGCTCTCTGTTCCAGGAGTGGACAGACCGACCTGGAGCGGCACTTGACAGAGTGCCCACAGTGGTCCCCATGATGCAGCAGGTCCTCTTCTGGACAMGGGACTGTCGAGAGGTTTGGTTTTTGACTTTTTGTTGTCGTTAGTTCCCACCTGAACCTGTGGAGGGTCTGATCCTGCCACGCTACTTGGTCGCCTTTCTCCTGGRCTGCAGCCTTCTGCGGTGGGAGGAGGGGTCCTCTCGGGCCCCAGGAGAAGGGGGTGGCCAGGGTGTGGGCCTCCGGCTCCTATGGCAGTTGGGTGCGTGTTGCTCTGCTCCTCAGGCCAGTTGGTGCCCAGTGACTGGTGGCTGGGCATCTGTGCTCAGGGCCAGCGGGAGCCTCCCTGTCTGCTCCTTGCCCCACTTTGGACGGCAACCGTCTCTCTGCCCCACATCTGCCACGTGGTGCCCCCACCCCTGAGGGGGGAGAGGGTGTGGCCGGAGGGTGGCCTGCCTGTCTTAGTGAAACTCCAGGCCGGAGGGCAGGGCCAGAAGCCAAAGGCTGGATCAGAGACCCCAGCCTTCCCAGTGCCCACCTCTGCTCTGGCCTGGGGKATACGGGGTTGGAGCTGCCAGGTGCAGGGGATGAGTCAGAGATGATTTGGGGGAGACTGGAGGGGCCTAGACGGACACTGCTCAGCCCCAGGAGGAGGCTCCTCTCGTCTGGGCCCCTGCCTGGGGCCGTTCTCCCTGGACTGAACCAGGGCCCAGTGTGGGTGCTCTGGAGGGCAAGGGAGGCCAGGCCAGAGAAGCACCCAGGTGTGAGAGTGGGGGTGGGGTAGACCCAAGGGCCGGCTGTGAAGGGCTCAGGGGCCTTCTTTTCTCTGGGCTCTAGGATTTAAGGCTGTCCCTGCCAAGGCCCTGGGCTGTGCCAGTGGGGACAGAGAACGGGCTGAAGCCACCTCCAGCAGAGTGCTCTCGGGTCCGGATGGCTGTAGGGCTATGGTTTGTCCTCCATGGGCTCCTCTGGTTCCAGTGCGATGAGGACAATGAGATTTGGGGGAGAGAATGCCTTAAACTAAGCTGCGCTGCAGATGCTCCACTGTAAGGACATGGGAAGGAGGGGCAGGGCCACTGCCCAGGGTGGGCACTCTGTCTGGAGCCACGAGGAAGAGCAGAGGTAGCGTCCATCTGGAGTCACAGGTGCAGGCTGGCAGGGTGAGGGCAGCCCAGGACACTTGGTGGCAAATGGGAGGTGGCAGGAGTAGCTTCAAGGAGTCTGGGGCTGGCTGGATGCTCTGAGGCCAGTCTGGGAGGCCAGGGCCTGTCTTCTGGCAGCATCTCTGCAGCCCCATTGGGTCAGCGTCATTTTGGAGTCCTTGAAGCTGGGTCTTTCTTAGGACAAGACCACGTCTCCTTGTTTGGGTTTGTCTGTCCTGACTCCATCTTGCCCTCTGTGGGTGCCCTCCTGGGCCTGGGGGACACTGGGCTGTGGGATCCTTCCTGGCTGCAGGGCCAGTGACCCACTCCATGGTGGAGCAGAGGGGAAGTGGCTGCCACAGAATGTCCAGACCTTCCAACAGCACAGAGGACACAGAGGCTGGGTTGAGAGGCCAGGTGGGGAGCGCACAACCACCTACGGCCCCTGCACCCACACGGGAGCCGTGGGGCCTGCCAGTCTCCCTGGGTGGCATTCAGGAGTGGGCCGCCTGCTGAGTTTGGAGGCCGTGGAGGGGCTTCTGGTGGGCAGCAGGTGTCCTCCATCCTTCAGGAACTGTCCACGCTTTCCTGAGGAGCGCCTAATCTAGGTGCGTGTTCTCTGCCGGCTCCTGGACCCTCTGGGGGGGGGTTATTATGCAGCCAGTGAGAGCCATTTCCCAAGTGGAGAAGAGCCCGCCAAGGCTTCACCTTTGTGCTAAAGGGGAGAAGCTGATGGCTTCCCCTGGGCCACTGGCAGGTGGAGGGTCATTGAGCATCTGCTACCTAGAGATTCCGGGTCAGGCCCTTTGTCCCTAAGGAAATGCTGAGGTGGGTGCTGCTGTCCTAGGGCAGCAGACACAGGCAGGGTAACCAGGGAGTCTTAACGTTGGACACTGCTGGGTGGAGGAGCCAGAATTCCCACCTGGAATGTCAGACAGTTGGCAAGGCCACCTGACACGCACTGACCCTCTTCTAGGAGTTGCTATGGGTAACCCGGAGTCACTTTGTGAGCCTGACTCTTGGCTCCCTGTGGCCGAGCCCTCGCTGGCCGTGAAGGGCTGGCCGTGAAGGGCTGACCGTGGAGCTTGCTGGCCTCAGGTCGGGTTAGCAGAAGCTGGCAGATCTCGGCTCTGCAGAAAAGCAGCAGGTGGTGACCTCTGAGCCCCGGGTCTTGGCACACATGGCTCCTGAAGCAGTTGAACAAATAAAGGGAAACTACGCCAAGGCCAGGGCCTGAGGCAGCTGGTTGGTTGCCCTCAGCGGACGTGGCATGGCCAGCCCCGAGCCTGTGGTTTTGGGGTGCATTGGGGCCGTGGGCATTGCACACATGCTGGCCAAGCTCCAAGTGGCCTCATGGCTGAAGCCAAGGGGACCAAGATGTAGGTTTGCCTATGAATTTTGCAAAAAGGTAATAAGCGCTAGGTCATGTTTTAAATGCAAATTGGGTTGAGGATTTGAAAGGCTTTCACCCAGACACCAAAGCGGGACGCTTGCCATTCAGCATGGCAGGGGCAGACCCACCCTGCCATTCTTGGGGGACCTAGATAAAATAGCTCCACCATCCCCCGCTGAGAAGGAGCAGGCCTCCAGCACTGCAGTGGCCAGGCTCAGCAGCCTGACGTTTCTTTGGCCCTGAACCGTGTTGATTTCACACCCTGGGCACAGCCAGGCTCATGGTGTCTTGAGAACGCAGCTGTGAAAAGACAGAGAACAAACACTGGGTCCGTCTCTGGGCATCGTGTGGACGAGACTCTGGGTGTTTGTTTATGTGACACAGTTCTCATGCGGTTGTTTTCTTTTCTCCTTTCTTTGTGGGATACCTCAGAACTGGAGCAGAACTGCTGGGCCTTATCAGGACCCTGGAGCAGTGTTGGGACTGGAAGTGAGGTTCTCTGATGAGTGATTTCTCTCTCCCATCTCTCCGGCTTGCTGTAGGTCCCTCTCACTCCCCCCACCATGGATCTGCATCTCTTTGACTACACGGAGCCAGGGAACTTCTCTGACATCAGCTGGCCATGCAACAGCAGCGACTGCATCCTGGTCGACACGGTGCAGTGCCCCGCCATGCCCCACAAAAGCATCCTGCTCTACACGCTCTCCTTCATTTACATTTTCATCTTCGTGATCGGCATGATCGCCAACTCTGTGGTGGTCTGGGTGAACATCCAGGCCAAGACCACAGGCTACGACACCCACTGCTACATCTTGAACCTGGCCATCGCGGACCTGTGGGTGGTCATCACCATCCCGGTCTGGGTGGTCAGCCTGGTGCAGCACAACCAGTGGCCCATGGGCGAGCTCACCTGCAAGGTCACGCACCTCATCTTCTCCATCAACCTCTTTGGCAGCATCTTCTTCCTCACGTGCATGAGCGTCGACCGCTACCTCTCCATCACCTACTTCACCAGCACCTCCAGCCGCAGGAAGAAGATGGTGCGCCGCATCGTGTGCGTCCTGGTGTGGCTGCTGGCCTTCTGCGTGTCTCTGCCCGACACCTACTACCTGAAGACCGTCACGTCCGCTTCCAACAACGAGACCTACTGCCGGTCCTTCTACCCCGAGCACAGCATCAAGGAGTGGCTGATCGGCATGGAGCTGGTCTCTGTTGTCCTGGGCTTCGCCGTCCCCTTCTCCATCATCGCTGTCTTCTACTTCCTGCTCGCCAGGGCCATCTCGGCATCCGGCGACCAGGAGAAGCACAGTAGCCGGAAGATCATCTTCTCCTACGTGGTGGTCTTCCTGGTGTGCTGGCTCCCCTACCACGTGGTGGTGCTGCTGGACATCTTCTCCATCTTGCACTACCTCCCCTTCACCTGCCAGCTGGAGAANCAGTTGGTGCCCAGTGACTGGTGGCTGGGCATCTGTGCTCAGGGCCAGCGGGAGCCTCCCTGTCTGCTCCTTGCCCCACTTTGGACGGCAACCGTCTCTCTGCCCCACATCTGCCACGTGGTGCCCCCACCCCTGAGGGGGGAGAGGGTGTGGCCGGAGGGTGGCCTGCCTGTCTTAGTGAAACTCCAGGCCGGAGGGCAGGGCCAGAAGCCAAAGGCTGGATCAGAGACCCCAGCCTTCCCAGTGCCCACCTCTGCTCTGGCCTGGGGTATACGGGGTTGGAGCTGCCAGGTGCAGGGGATGAGTCAGAGATGATTTGGGGGAGACTGGAGGGGCCTAGACGGACACTGCTCAGCCCCAGGAGGAGGCTCCTCTCGTCTGGGCCCCTGCCTGGGGCCGTTCTCCCTGGACTGAACCAGGGCCCAGTGTGGGTGCTCTGGAGGGCAAGGGAGGCCAGGCCAGAGAAGCACCCAGGTGTGAGAGTGGGGGTGGGGTAGACCCAAGGGCCGGCTGTGAAGGGCTCAGGGGCCTTCTTTTCTCTGGGCTCTAGGATTTAAGGCTGTCCCTGCCAAGGCCCTGGGCTGTGCCAGTGGGGACAGAGAACGGGCTGAAGCCACCTCCAGCAGAGTGCTCTCGGGTCCGGATGGCTGTAGGGCTATGGTTTGTCCTCCATGGGCTCCTCTGGTTCCAGTGCGATGAGGACAATGAGATTTGGGGGAGAGAATGCCTTAAACTAAGCTGCGCTGCAGATGCTCCACTGTAAGGACATGGGAAGGAGGGGCAGGGCCACTGCCCAGGGTGGGCACTCTGTCTGGAGCCACGAGGAAGAGCAGAGGTAGCGTCCATCTGGAGTCACAGGTGCAGGCTGGCAGGGTGAGGGCAGCCCAGGACACTTGGTGGCAAATGGGAGGTGGCAGGAGTAGCTTCAAGGAGTCTGGGGCTGGCTGGATGCTCTGAGGCCAGTCTGGGAGGCCAGGGCCTGTCTTCTGGCAGCATCTCTGCAGCCCCATTGGGTCAGCGTCATTTTGGAGTCCTTGAAGCTGGGTCTTTCTTAGGACAAGACCACGTCTCCTTGTTTGGGTTTGTCTGTCCTGACTCCATCTTGCCCTCTGTGGGTGCCCTCCTGGGCCTGGGGGACACTGGGCTGTGGGATCCTTCCTGGCTGCAGGGCCAGTGACCCACTCCATGGTGGAGCAGAGGGGAAGTGGCTGCCACAGAATGTCCAGACCTTCCAACAGCACAGAGGACACAGAGGCTGGGTTGAGAGGCCAGGTGGGGAGCGCACAACCACCTACGGCCCCTGCACCCACACGGGAGCCGTGGGGCCTGCCAGTCTCCCTGGGTGGCATTCAGGAGTGGGCCGCCTGCTGAGTTTGGAGGCCGTGGAGGGGCTTCTGGTGGGCAGCAGGTGTCCTCCATCCTTCAGGAACTGTCCACGCTTTCCTGAGGAGCGCCTAATCTAGGTGCGTGTTCTCTGCCGGCTCCTGGACCCTCTGGGGGGGGGTTATTATGCAGCCAGTGAGAGCCATTTCCCAAGTGGAGAAGAGCCCGCCAAGGCTTCACCTTTGTGCTAAAGGGGAGAAGCTGATGGCTTCCCCTGGGCCACTGGCAGGTGGAGGGTCATTGAGCATCTGCTACCTAGAGATTCCGGGTCAGGCCCTTTGTCCCTAAGGAAATGCTGAGGTGGGTGCTGCTGTCCTAGGGCAGCAGACACAGGCAGGGTAACCAGGGAGTCTTAACGTTGGACACTGCTGGGTGGAGGAGCCAGAATTCCCACCTGGAATGTCAGACAGTTGGCAAGGCCACCTGACACGCACTGACCCTCTTCTAGGAGTTGCTATGGGTAACCCGGAGTCACTTTGTGAGCCTGACTCTTGGCTCCCTGTGGCCGAGCCCTCGCTGGCCGTGAAGGGCTGGCCGTGAAGGGCTGACCGTGGAGCTTGCTGGCCTCAGGTCGGGTTAGCAGAAGCTGGCAGATCTCGGCTCTGCAGAAAAGCAGCAGGTGGTGACCTCTGAGCCCCGGGTCTTGGCACACATGGCTCCTGAAGCAGTTGAACAAATAAAGGGAAACTACGCCAAGGCCAGGGCCTGAGGCAGCTGGTTGGTTGCCCTCAGCGGACGTGGCATGGCCAGCCCCGAGCCTGTGGTTTTGGGGTGCATTGGGGCCGTGGGCATTGCACACATGCTGGCCAAGCTCCAAGTGGCCTCATGGCTGAAGCCAAGGGGACCAAGATGTAGGTTTGCCTATGAATTTTGCAAAAAGGTAATAAGCGCTAGGTCATGTTTTAAATGCAAATTGGGTTGAGGATTTGAAAGGCTTTCACCCAGACACCAAAGCGGGACGCTTGCCATTCAGCATGGCAGGGGCAGACCCACCCTGCCATTCTTGGGGGACCTAGATAAAATAGCTCCACCATCCCCCGCTGAGAAGGAGCAGGCCTCCAGCACTGCAGTGGCCAGGCTCAGCAGCCTGACGTTTCTTTGGCCCTGAACCGTGTTGATTTCACACCCTGGGCACAGCCAGGCTCATGGTGTCTTGAGAACGCAGCTGTGAAAAGACAGAGAACAAACACTGGGTCCGTCTCTGGGCATCGTGTGGACGAGACTCTGGGTGTTTGTTTATGTGACACAGTTCTCATGCGGTTGTTTTCTTTTCTCCTTTCTTTGTGGGATACCTCAGAACTGGAGCAGAACTGCTGGGCCTTATCAGGACCCTGGAGCAGTGTTGGGACTGGAAGTGAGGTTCTCTGATGAGTGATTTCTCTCTCCCATCTCTCCGGCTTGCTGTAGGTCCCTCTCACTCCCCCCACCATGGATCTGCATCTCTTTGACTACACGGAGCCAGGGAACTTCTCTGACATCAGCTGGCCATGCAACAGCAGCGACTGCATCCTGGTCGACACGGTGCAGTGCCCCGCCATGCCCCACAAAAGCATCCTGCTCTACACGCTCTCCTTCATTTACATTTTCATCTTCGTGATCGGCATGATCGCCAACTCTGTGGTGGTCTGGGTGAACATCCAGGCCAAGACCACAGGCTACGACACCCACTGCTACATCTTGAACCTGGCCATCGCGGACCTGTGGGTGGTCATCACCATCCCBGTCTGGGTGGTCAGCCTGGTGCAGCACAACCAGTGGCCCATGGGCGAGCTCACCTGCAAGGTCACGCACCTCATCTTCTCCATCAACCTCTTTGGCAGCATCTTCTTCCTCACATGCATGAGCATCGACCGCTACCTCTTCATCACCTACTTCACCAGCACCTCCAGCCGCAGGAAGAAGATGGTGCGCCGCATCGTGTGCGTCCTGGTGTGGCTGCTGGCCTTCTGCGTGTCTCTGCCCGACACCTACTACCTGAAGACCGTCACGTCCGCTTCCAACAACGAGACCTACTGCCGGTCCTTCTACCCCGAGCACAGCATCAAGGAGTGGCTGATCGGCATGGAGCTGGTCTCTGTTGTCCTGGGCTTCGCCGTCCCCTTCTCCATCATCGCTGTCTTCTACTTCCTGCTCGCCAGGGCCATCTCGGCATCCGGCGACCAGGAGAAGCACAGTAGCCGGAAGATCATCTTCTCCTACGTGGTGGTCTTCCTGGTGTGCTGGCTCCCCTACCACGTGGTGGTGCTGCTGGACATCTTCTCCATCCTGCACWACCTCCCCTTCACCTGCCAGCTGGAGAATGCGCTCTTCACGGCGCTGCACGTCACGCAGTGCCTGTCCCTGGTGCACTGCTGCGTCAACCCCGTGCTCTACAGCTTCATCAACCGCAACTACAGGTACGAGCTCATGAAGGCCTTCATTTTCAAGTACTCCGCCAAAACAGGCCTCACCAAGCTCATCGACGCCTCCAGAGCGTCAGACACAGAGTACTCTGCACTGGAGCAAAGCACCAAATGACCCGCCACGCAGAGCCTGGGACAGGGAGCTTGTGAACATGGCCTTGGGCCGCATGGTTTCCATAGGAGAGCAAGGGAGCTTTGGGTCTTGATGCCCAAGTGACATGAAGAGGAGAAGGCGTGACATTGTGCATCTTCCTCTGTCCACGCCAGTGCAGTTGTCGCCCGGCTGTGCACTCTGACGCTTTGGCAAAGGCAGAGCTGAGCCGTGCAGCCAGCGCTGTGTGTCCAGCCAGCTTCAGGACAAGCTTGCCTGGACGTCTGTACATAGAACCTCCTGGGCTTCCTGAAATTTTTATATGGTGATTTGTATTTAAGTTTTCAGACTTTATTTTCTCACTATTGGCGTACTTTATAAATGTATTTGAAAGTTAAATATATTTTAAATATTGTATGGGAGGTATAATGCTGACATACTCAGATTGATGTAGTATCAAGATTTAGTTTGACTTCAGTTGTGACTAAGGATGACATTAATTGTTAGCTGATTTAAAATTTTATATATATATAAATATATATGAATATATAAAAATATATGCCAGTCTTGGCCAAAATGTTTTATTTACAATAGTTTTATATCTGTGTGGTGTGTTGTACCAGCACAGGATATGGAACAGAAACTGCTCTGGAAGGCAGTTTGGACGTTAATAGTATTGCAGAGTTACGTTTAAAACAAAAGAAGACCGTTCCAGGCTGCAAAACCTGTGCACAAAATGAACAGAGTTCTCTTAATTTGTAAGTTATTTTTTTTAATAAAGAATTTTGTTTCCTAAAAGTGCCTCTGAACCTCATTTGTGAAAGCGTGCTTGCATTAGGTAGCATTCATGGCGATCCTCTGTGGACGCACGTGGCACATGCAGGCCCGCCGAGTAAATATAAAGAGAACTGCCACCAAGCCCACCCGAGGGTTAGTGGGTGTATGACATGAAAGGCACAGATTCAAGGTGCTGAGTATTTTAGAAGCTCTTCAGCGGGTGGTGTGTTGGGGAGGGAGGTGGCAGGCGGTGCAGCGAGAGGTCTGTGGAGGCAGRAGGGGTGCAGCCAATGTGCGGCCTGCATCAGCCAGGACTCCTGTGCCACCAGGGCCACCCGTCACAGTCCTCATGCCATCTCTGCTGAGGGTTGAAGGCACAAGTGCTGCTTTCCCTCTCCTTCTTGGGAGACCTCTGACTGACACTTCCTGTGTAGATTCTCTCTACCATAGACCAGCCCATTACAGTGGTCCCCTGTCATCTGCACCAGATATGTCCCAAGATCCCCTGAAACCTGGAAGGTCCCCAACCCTTATGTATACTACGTCTATTTACTATGTCTTCTCCTAGACACACACACCTATGGCAAAGTTTAATTTATAAATTAGCACAGAGATCAACAACAACTACTGAAAATAAAATAGAATAATTATGGCAACATTCG